CCCTTTTCCCTTCCTCCTTCGCCCTCCCACTGGTACCAACCCCCCCAGGAAGGACTTGTTCCACCTTCCTGTTCTCCAATTTTGTAAAAAAAAAAAAAAAAGGAAGAAATTTTTGCTTGTTTAAGATAGCTACATAGGGAATTCCTTATGGCACTTCCATGCATGTATGTATTGTAGCCCAATTTGGTTCATCTCCTCTATTTTTCTTCTTTCTACCTTAGTCCCTTTCTTATGGTGGTTTCAACTGGTTTAAACATTCTCTATCCATTCTTTGTATAGATGAATGGATTTGTATAGAGAGTACATCAACCATATTCACCTTCCTTTATCCTCCCCCTTTTGTATGTGACCTCCTCTTAGCGTGCAGGTCATTTTAATTTGATCAGGGGTTGAGGTCCTTGATATCAGTCTATTTCTGCTTAGTTTTATTAGTTGTGAGGCTTGGGGGGGTGGTTTCCAGGGCCCCCTTTCCTGGTTGGGTACTGATCTTAAGTTTTTGTCTCCCTAGTCACCTGAGTGTGCCACAATCTCTTAGCTTCTGAACACACAGTTTCCTCTTCTGAAGTCAGTAGATGCCCAGAGCTGGAGGAGCAACGCCAAACATCAGGCTTACTTTCCTGGGCTTCTTTCTTCTGTTAGACCATAACCCCTAAGTTTTTACTAAATGATTATAATACTGACTATTTGATTATGCCAAAGCTCTCTGTTGCTTTTTTTTTTTTTTTTTTTTTTTTTTTTTGCAGCACTGGTGTTTGAACTCAAGGCCTACACCTTGGGCCATGCCACCAGCCCTTTTTTTAGAGATAGAGTCTTGCAAACCATTTCTCCAGGCTGGCTTCAAACCTCAGTCCTCCTGATCTTTGCCTCCTGAGTAGCTAGGATTATAGGTGTGAGCCACCAGTGCCCAGCCCCTCTGATGCTTTTAAACAGATTTTTAAATATATATTCTGCCCATGTGTTTTAGTTCTTCTCCATGTGAATTGAGTCTGAATTACCAGGAACACCACCACCCTGTTGGCCGAGGATTGTATTTTCTTAAATTCAGCAGGGATGTTTTCCCTCTAGAACAGGGAAAACTGTGGTGCAAAAGTGTTAAATGGAGAATTCCAGAAATAAACAGTGTGCACTGAGAAAGTGCACACTGTTCTGAGTAATGTGATGAAATTTCATGTCTTCCTGCTCCATTCTGCCTGGGTTGTAAACCACCACTCTGTCCTGCGTATCCATGTTGTATATGCCATCTGCTCATTAGCCATCTCAGTTTTCAGTGTTTTTATTCAAGTAACACTTACTTCATTAACGATGGCCTCCAAAGCAAAAGTAGTCATGCTGTGATTTGGATATGCCAAAAAGAAATCAGAAAGTACTTTCTTTAGGCAAAAGATGAAAATTTATATCATATGTAGGTATATAAAGGAAAAACCCCATAATACGTATATGGTAGACAAATTGAGGTCTTGGAACACATCCCCCATGGGTAAGTGGGGATCTCCTGTGCCTACATGTGCTGAATTGATGTCCAGCCAGGTGTTAGGATTTTGAAGATGGTCCTAACCCCAAATTGCAAACATGCAACAGTAGCTGATTTTATAAAGTACATTTTGTCAGGCTTGAGAGTAGACGTTTCAGCTCTTTTATTTCCTTTAAAGCAGAGGTTGCTCATGATTTAGGCCTATGAAATTATAAAAATTTTACTTTTAAAAACAACTCAGCATACAAGAGTAGAAGCTTATGGAAAAAAATCAGATTATATTACAAAAGGATTCACAGAATCATAGATAACCTTGAAAATCATCTTTTTTGAAGTGTCTCATTTTTCTAGATGATCAAAGTATGGACCAGAGAGATGGAGTGACAAGCCCAACGCCATGTACCAGCAATGACAGAGTCAGGATTGGAACATGAGTATCCCTGATTTCCGTGTACTTTGGTTCTTTTAGGCAATAATAGAACCTGTTTGTCTTCTCCACTTTGTCCCTGCCTTCTCCAAGTCTGTTTGGATTTTACATGGTCTGGGTGTTTGTGCCCATGGAAAACTTGCCTTTCAGAAAGAACAATATCTTGCCTTGGATTTCAGTAATACATTTAGAAAGTATATGGCAAGTGGGCATCTTTTCTTTTCAGTCCTTAGTCCTCTGACTCTGGTGCTTGTCATCCATCCTTTTAGTCACTGGAAATGATTCTGTTTGTAGTCTCACCTAACTGATAAGGTTCTCATGGGATGCTCACTGTAGAATTCAACCTTTGCCTTCCTTCACAGAAAGAATAAGGGTTATATGCTCATTCTCTGATTGTTAAAAAAAATTGATATCAAATGACAAGCTTTTTGTTCTGTGTCATGTGTCAAGATTACCAGTAATTTACCACATGTTCATGTGTTAGAGATGGGGTCAGGACATAAAATCAAGTAAAGAGAGAAAATGCTTTCATGTAAATTCATTAGCTTTTCATTGAGGAATATCCTAACTATTAAATAAATAAAATAAAACCCGAAATCAGTGAAGTTCTCATAAGAGTTGTTCCTACTCTGATTAAAATACATGCTTTGTTTGCTTTTCTTAAAATTCACTTCTAGCTAGACCTGGTGATATCCACCTGTAATCCTAGCACTCAGGAGGATGAGGCAGGAGAATCAAGAGTTAGTGACCTATCTGGGCTGTACAGCAAGTTCAAGGCCAGCCAGAGCTACCTGAGCGAGACTGTTTCAAAAGAAAAAAAAAAAGTTCTGATTTAAGCCTTTCAAAATTTGGGTCAGCCATCAGCCCCTCCTGCTGGGCATTGCCTTTGGTTACTCTTTTGGGTGGGGATGGAGTTGGCCAGTTGTTTTCCTGGCCAGAACGTTATTGAGAGGGCTGCGATGTGACAGAGTGATGTGTGCCACAGCTCACAGCTGTGGCGTCTCCTCAGAACTGTGACCCAATGCTAGGACTAGAGGTGAAGGAACTTTGGCTCTCTTTTTTTTTTTTTTTTAGCAGTCATGATGGTGACAAGAACATAATTCTCACATGCACTGTGTGGTTGGAGAATTTCAACATGCTTGTAGAGACTAAAAGACAGGATCAAGGACAAGTTCATTACTGTTTTCAGTGTAACTGTTGCTCATAAGAGCTAAATGATTCTTCAAGGAAAAAAGAAAACAGAATGAATCCCAGAGACTTTTTCCCTCAAGTCAGTGTATGGTTACTTCAGTACTCATCTTGTATAAAATGAGAAACAAAACTACAAAAATGAAATGTAAAAACTTCTTTTTTTTTAATTTAAAAAATTTTTTTATTATTCATATGTGCATACAATGCTTGGGTCATTTTTCCCCCCACCCCCACCCCCTCCCTTACCACCCACCCTGCCCCCTCCCACTCCCCCCCACCCCCTTGATACCCAGCGGAAACTATTTTGCCCTTATCTCTAATTTTGTTTAAGTGAGAGTATAAGCAATAATAGGAAGGAACAAGGGTTTTTGCTAGTTGAGATAAGGATAGCTACACAGGGAATTGACTCACATTAGTTTCCTGTGCATGTGTGTTACCTTCTAGGTTAATTCTTTTTGATCTAACCTTTTCTCTAGTTCCTGGTCCCCTTTTCCTATTGGCCTCAGTTGCTTTTAAGGTATCTGCTTTAGTTTCTCTGCATTGAGGGCAACAAATGCTAGCTAATTTTTTAGGTGTCTTACCTATCCTCATCCCTCTTGTGGGCTCTCGCTTTTATCTTGTGATCAAAGTTCAATCCCCTTGTGTGTTTGCCCTTGATCTAATGTCCACATATGAGGGAGAACATACAATTTTTGGTCTTTTGGGCCAGGCTAACCTCACTCAGAATGATGTTTTCCAGTTCCATCCAGTTACCAGCAAATGATAACATTTCATTCTTCTTCATGGCTGCATAAAATTCCATTGTGTATAGATTGTAAAAACTTCTTAAAAAGCTATTCACATGTTTGATTTTCATTTGTCCTAGTCTATTGTATGTTGCTGTAACAAAATACCTTGAGTCTAGGTCTTTATTTTTAAAAAAAGAGGGGTGATTTTTGGCTCTAGTGCATGGCTCCAGCATCTGCTGAGCTTCTGGTGAAAACATCATGGTAGATGACATCACAGTGGGAGGAGAGTTTGTGGAAGAGGGATTTAGGCAAAGTGCCAGGCTCACTTCTAACAGCCTATTCTCACAGGAACTAATCCAGTCCCACAGGACCTGAATCACTCTGGGGAGACAGCATTAATCCATTCATGGGGCAGAACCAACATGGCCTAATTACCTTATAGGAGGCCCTACCTCTTAAAGTTCCCCACTTCAGCATCCGACCCTGGGGACCAGGCTTTCCGGCACATGAATTTTTGGGAAAAAGCAAATTTACATACTAGCACTGTAGTATTTTGTCTAGGGAAGAGATAAAGTTTGATTTTTGACTGAGCTGTATCCTTGTTAGAAAGACATAGTATATAAATGAGTGATGAACTAACAGATAGGTGATACAGTGACATCTACCAGTTAGACTAGTGGAGAAAATCTGCCAGCCAGAACAATCAGACTTTGGAGGAAGTCACAAAAGATCCAGGCAGTTTGTATGTAAAAATTAAAGGGACTCTAGATCTTCACTTCTTAGCGCATGGTCCAAACAGCTAGGAGCTTGTTAGAACTGTAGTCACAGGTTACCTAGAATTACTGAGTTGAGGTTCATACCTGCATTAAAGTGGGTGAAAGACTGGCCTAGGTTTCATGATCAGGTTTGCATTTGCCATTGACAAAAGTGATCACATCATTCATTTGCTTAATTCCCTCATCTTTCTCTTCACTCTTAGGATATTAACCAGAATCAAAGGCCTGGCTTTCTAGGACCTGCAGGTCAGCCTTGTCTCTAGCATCCTCGCTGCTGCTGACTGCAATCTGGTCCCTGGTCCTCCTGCTTCAAGGCCTTTGCATCATCTCCCTTTAGCGTTAGTTTATTTTTTTCTTTCTCTGTCTCTCTTTTTTTTTTTTTTTAATTTTTTTGGTAGTACTGAGGGTTGAACTTAGAGCCTCATACTTGCTAGGCACTTGAGCCATACCTTCATTCCTTTGTTTGCTTTGGTTAAATTTTTGTGGTAGGATGTTGAATTTTTGCCTGGACCGACTGGGCTGTTATCCTATTTATGTTTCTCACATAGCTAAGATGACAGGTTCAGCCACTACACCCAGCTGTTGGTTGAGATGGGGTCTTAATAACTTTTTGCCTGGGGCTGGCCTCAAACCTCTGTCCCTCTGATCTCTGCCTCCCAAGTACTGAAATTACAGGCATGAGGCTCTGTGCCAGCCCTGTGTTAGCTCCTTAGGGCTTCTATAGCAAAGTGCCACAAATTAAGGGACTTAAAACAACAGAAATTTATTCTCTTACATTTCTGAAGGCTAGAAGTCTAAAACCAAGGTGTCAGAGGGCCCATGCTTTTTTGTAGGCTGTAGGGAGGATCTATCCTTGTGTGCTCCATCATCTGTTAACTCAGGCATTTCTTGGCTTGCAGCAGATTCACTGCAGTCCTGCTTCTGTCTTCAGATGTTCTTCTGCTTTCAGTGTGTGCCTTCACATGGCATTCTTTATTGTGGGTCTGTGTCCACAATTTTCTTTTCTCATAAGGATGCCAGGTGCCTGTGAACCTCTGGTCACCTGGTTTTCTTTAATCAGTGCAATCTTGCTTTATGTGTTTTCTGACTAAAGACATCTCACTTAATACACACTGTTGCTCACTGTTGATTCATAAATATTGAACTCAGCCTCTCCTATTGAACTTATCTATAGCACTATGACTCCTGTCAGAGGAAAGCTTATTTAATTACACGTTTTCTCCATAAGGCACATTGCAGCCTTCTTGTACTTACAAACAGTACGCAGCACTTTAGCACTACTGCTGGGGCCACTTTAAACACAAGATGACCAAGAAAAGGCACAAAAGTGTGACAAGTTCTTACTAAATAGACCGTGGAAAGGACATTTGTTTGGCCTCAGCTAGGAACATGCATATCAGGGGTCTCGCATTTTTCCCTCCCTGCACATCTGTGGTGACCTCAGAAGCACCATGAGTACTGTTTTGTAGTTACAAGTATGTTTTAGTGAGTAGGCTAATTCACATGTACAGAATTTAGAGGTAATGTAGATCAGATATAGTTCCCTGCACAGGCTATAATTTTAATAACAAAGTTGTTTTTGAAATATTTAAGGCAATTATTATTTTTTCATGGGTTATTTGTGGAAAAAAAAACATGGAAAGAAGTATCATACTTTTGTGATTATTCATGCCTCTCCTGTTTCCATGTCATTGATGTCATGTTGTCCCCTCAGAACTGGACTCTGCTGCTGTCTACTCATGACGTTGTAATGGCCCCTACTTGTGCTCATCCCTCTGCCCTACTCTGTGTCTTGAGATCTTCTTCCAAGGGAGGACGTGAGTGGGCTGGTGGCCACCAAAGTGGTCACTCAGTGTGATCTTCTGCATACAGCTTTGCCAGTGTTCCCACCCATATTCGGGATGTTTCATGTCAGTAATTCTCTTCCTTCCTGTGTCCCATTAGACTGGAAATGAAGATAACAGGGAATGTTTTATCATTTCCAGTTCCTGGAACCTCATTCTCAATTACGCCTTGAGTCCCATGAAGAGCAGCTTCGTGGGGACTTCTCAAGGTCATTCCATGTCCTTTTATAATGTCTCTAAGGTTATTGTTACTGCCTCAAAGAATGGTGGCCTGGAGCCCGCTGATGATTGGGTGGAGCCACTCTGTAATGGCAGCTGTGCCTGGGAAGAACTTCAGGACTGGCATGATTCTGTACTGAACATTTCCTGTGTAGAAGGCAGCGTTTTGGCTTTGTAGGATTGTAAGAATACCTGTAAGAATCAAATAAGAACCTACAAGAAGTTCGCACTCTGAAAGAACTTAAAATTTGCATAGGAAGAGAGGGTAACATAGCTAAAAAGTTTATAGGTAAGAGACAAGACTACTTTACTTATAACAGGTGCCATAAAGCAGTGTTTGATTTTCAAATGAGCAGTGTATGATCTGTCAGTAGTGTAGGAGTTGGATGGGGAGGGATACTTCAGGCCAGAGTGGTCTGGGAAGGCCTTGTGAAGAAGGAGGGTGGGAGCTGGGACTCAGAGGATGGATAAGGACAAGAAAGCCCAGAGAAAGAGGAGTAAAGAGCTTGGTATGAGCAAGATCAGAGGTGTCTGCAACTGAGTGGACTAGACCTGTGAGAAGCATACAAAGGAAAAGCAGGTGGCTCGTCATAGGTGAAGCCTGTGATTCTTGTAACAATGCTTATATTCCAGCAGTAGTGGGGCATAGAGGGAGGAAAGTTTGGCAGGCCTGAAGAGAGAGGTATGAGGTATTGACTATCTCAGGCCACATTCATCTGAACAGAGTGGGTTACAGGAGCAAGAGACAGCTACGGTTTGAAAGGATTATACTGTCCATAAAGTCCTATAGGTGTAGGCTTGAGTCACCATTGCCTTTGCTTTCACATCCCAGATGAAATGTCTAAGGACACAAACAGAGTGGTAAACAGTTTGGATGATGCTCTGTTAATGATCTGCCTTGGCTGTATTTTGGTGGGCAAGGGAAGGACCATCTCAGAAAAGAATCTGGAAGGGTGTGCGCTGGTAGAAGAAACAGGTGCAAAGCACATGAATTATTTTCAAAGGGAAAGTAAGCTGAAGAACAAGGGATGCTAGGGCCAGGGAGGAGGCTGGTATTGAAGGGAAGTGCATTAGGGTAAAAGCAAAGGCACAGATGAGAAAAGGGCAGAGGGCTGATAAGCTTGAACTTAAGTCAGGAGAGAATGGCTGGTTCCTTGGAGAGACCAAATGATTCCTTCAGAGTTTAAGTGTCAGTATTGGGAGTTCAAAGCATTTATGGAACTCAGATACCCCAAAAGAACAAATTGGCTACCCCAGCTCTCACAAAACTGTTCTGCTCCGGCCATGTTTGGCCCTTGGAAGGATAATACCAAAGGTGGTGTAAATGCTGGTCCCCTGAATGCCTGGTACGTTGACAGTTTCTTCTGTAAATGCAGCTAGGAGAGGAGGGGAAAAAGCTTGGTTTGCGGCATTGTCACTGGGAGGTGTCTCTGTACTCTAGCCAGCTGGATGTCTGGCCTACTGTGTCCGTAGGTCCCTTCAGCTGAGAGCTGGCTCAGAAAATGGTAGGCCTGGTTCATTCCACCACCCAGTGGGACAGGGTGAGGAGGGTGGTTAGTGGGTAACGTAGGTAGTTCAAAAGCAATGCTTCTGAGTATACTCACCTAGTTCCCCAGCACTGATGAAGGGAACTTAGGAAAGGGTCCTGCAGGGGTATGCAAACAGGGCAGTCAGTAGCAGAAATACCTAATGTCAATTTCTCTTCTGTCAAAGGGCACCATGCCAGTGGAAAGGATGCGAATGCGCCCATGGCTGGAGGAACAGATAAACTCAAACACGATACCAGGGCTAAAGTGGCTTAACAAGGTAAGTATGCGTATTGGGGGGGGGGGGGGTGTGAGAGAGAGAGAGACAGAAAGAGTGAGCAAGTGAGAGAGAGAGAGTCTATGCCCATATGGACCACCAAAAGTAAAATTGTTCTTTGTGTTGAAAATCTTAGACTCATTCATTACAGAATCCAAGCAATCAACGGTGATCTTAAAACATCAAAATTTCTGTCATCTTAGCTTGTTGCCTTAACCTTCACTTCCCAGTTGCAGCTCAGTCTTGGGAGTTTGGATGGTTTTATGAAAGGTCCTTGCTATGGTTTCTTTAGTGACCCTTGCCTCTTCCTTCTCCAAATTCCCTTCTTGCTTCTCCTAGCTGTAAGGATTAAAGGACTTGGAAATTCCATAGTTTTTTTTTGGAAACGGAGCATACCGATTTTCTTTTCAAGGTGCTCTGTGTAAAGAATATTTGTTTTTGTGTGTAAAAAATACCTTCTTTTTATCTTTACATGAAACCCTTTGTGCGTCTGCCTGTCCTAAAAAAGTAGTTGTTTTTCATTTATACCTCCCCCAGCACACATATATGCATACATACTGCCTTTGGTTAACCTCAGAACTCACTATTTAATTGATCCTTGCTGTTAAGGGTGAATCAGGAAGAGATAATGTATATAGAAATGAAAAAGTCTAAAATTGTCTAGTTATAATTTAGAAAAGCAACTAAACTTAACTTCTCCTACTACCAGGACAATCTCACTTCTTCCAATTAAATGTCTTTTTCTTTTTCTTCGTCCCATTCCCTCTTTCTTTTTTCATCATAAGCACACGATGAATCTTTTAGCTGGTCAGGCTTTATCTTCGTACCAGGTGCAAGAGCTGAGAGCCAGACTGCAGATTGTGGCCTGCTTCTAATGAGTGAAATTTTGTCTTTTCACTAAAACCACTTCCTGCCTTCATTTTATCTTTAGAGATATCTCAAATCTTATTTTTGTTCTTCTCCTTTCATCCATTTATTTTGAATTTAATGTTATTCTGCGTGAATATCTGTTTTAGTGAGTCCTTTCTGTAACAAGGCAGGGAACAGACTAAATAGAAATAAATAAAACACTTGCTTACTTTACAGGTCCTGTCAAATACCTTAAGGTTTTATGGCAAACAATATATTTTTCCCAGGCTTGCAATATCTATATGTTTTAGATTCCTGGATGTAATTAGCCTCTTCCAAAGAAACAAGTAAGAAATCAAGTGGTTCCTTTGCTTACTCAGATAGCAGGGGTATACATGGAGGGTAGTAAAGGCGAGTTGTAGATACAAAGGGTAATAAATGGTAATAATAATAATAATAATGAGTAACATTTTTATTACCTGCTGAGTGCCAGGTATTCTTCTAAGCAAACTGTATGCATTTGCTGGGCACCCATAACTCACGCCCATAATCCTAGCTGCTTTGGAGGCTGAGATAGGGAGGATTGAGATTTGAGGCCAGGCCAGGCAAATAATTTTAGAGATCCCATCGCCCACCCCACCAAAAAAAAAACACAGCAAAATGGACTGGAGGTATGGCTCAAGTGATAGAGTACTTACTTTGTAAGTGTGAAGCCCTGAGTTCAAACCCCAGTCCCATTAAAAATAAATAAATAAGTGCATGCATCAATTCACATAATCCCCAGGATAGGAATGTGCTATTGCTATTTTCCATTTTACAGATAAGGAAACTGAGGTGCAGAGAGGTTAAGCAGGATTTTGCTTTGAATAATGAGATAACATTACCTGTTTTGATTTAGAAGGTGAGGTGAACACATGTTCAGTTCTGAAGAAAAGCAAGTTGTCTGTTACTGCTCTCTCTTTTCTGAAGCACACAGGTGGGGAGCTTACAGGGCCATAGTGCCTCCTGCATCACAAGGCATTTGATATGCTACAGTTAGTTGTTCTCTACAGTAGGTTGAGGGGTGGGGCCCCAAAGATATGTCCACATCCTGACTTCTAGAACCCGTGAGTGCAACCTTATTTGGAGAAGGAGTTTTTGCAGATGCAGTTAAGGACTTCAAGATGAGATCCTGGATTATCTACCTGGGCAAGTTCAATGACAGGTGAAGACGAGACATATACAGAGGAGAAGCCATGTAAAGACACAGGTGGAGGCTGGATTGCTGAAGCCACAAGCCAAGGGACTCCTGGAGGTACCAGAAGCTGGAGGAGGCAAGAAAGATTCTTTCCTAGAGTTTTTGAATGGAATTCAGCTCTGCTAACACCCTGATTTTGGATTTTGGCTTCCAGAACTGTGATAGAATAAATTTCTGTTGTCATAAGCCTCCTGGTTGTGGTCATTGTGACAAAAGCCAAAGGAAATTAATGCACCCTCTATGGGTTATTTCCTTTGTGGAACCATCCATGGAGACCTCTTTCCTTTCATCCACTTTGTCCATGTTTTTCTCTCAAGTCTCCCCCTCCTTTTTACCCTCAGTGCCGGGGATTGAACCTAGCGTGCTAGGCAAGTGCTTTACTACTGAGCTACAGCCCCGGTCCTGCCCATGTTTTTCTGATCTAGGACCAGAAGGCAAATGGATTTCTTTGTACTACTAAGCCCTCAGCTCCTCTCAGGTGGGCTGTCCTTCTGAGCTTCCTTCTATAGCATGAGAGTTTTCTTCCTGAGGAAGAACAGGGAAGGAACTTCCCTGTCATCTTGCAGCTCTTTTGCTAGGGCCAGGTGTGAGTCTGGCTGGAAGAAGAGTGTGTCACTGCTACTGCTGCCTCTTAAGACAGTGTTGACACTGGAGTCCCTGGGCTCCTGAGTGGCCTGAGGGTCCCTGTCAAGCAGGTGTTCTTCTGGGGCATAACCATGTGGGCAGGTGGCTGTATTTGTGCACACAGGCAGGACTGTCTCTGCTACTGCAGGCCTCACATGTGACCATGGGGTCAGGATGTTTTCTCTCCATTCCTATACTCCTACAGGCATCTTTTTATAGTTTTCAGCTAACTTAGGCTTGTTGGCATTCATCTGTCCACGTGAATACTTTGCTGGAGAGCTTAATGTTATTTCCTTCCCATTTGCAAACACTCTGCCTAAGAATCCCTGTTTATGTCTGGAATGGTTTGAGGTCATTCCAAACTTTCTTCTCCCATTGAAGACTGTTGTGACTCTAAGAAAAGAGACACTGTCCCCAGAACTTTGAGCTTTGCTATTGCCTAGTTGGTTTCTTAATCTACTTTGTGTTCCTGAGTCAAACACCTGAGATTGGGTAACTTAAAAAAATTGGGGGCTCACAATCCTGGTTGTTAAAGCATCCAAACAGCATGGTGCCTGTGTCCTGGTGAGGCGGTGTTGATGTTCTTTTGAGGGCAGAGCCTTGTGCTTTAATTAGCAAACACTGGACTCCATTCTCTTAACGACTGCCTCCTCGCCAACTCACCCTAGGGGTCACGGAGGTCACACTGCAGCCACATCCAAGCCATAGCAGTTGGTACTCAGAAAGTGTTCTTGTTTGTGGTGAAGCACTCCAGGGGAAGTGCCCTGAGCATTCCCCAACTATCATTTCACGACTGATTTGTTCAAATTAGAATGCGACCAAGCTCCACAGGCTGTGTTTGGTTTTATGACGCTAAGCTTCTCCCGACCATGGACAGTAACCCTGGCTTTCTGATTTTCCTTCTTGCCATTGCTTTGTTGAAGAGTGGTTCTGGATTTGTACAGATGCTTGCTGTGGTTCCCCTGGACTCTTTACTTGGGAAGGAAGGAGGGAGGCAGCCGCTTCTAGGTTCGTGGTTTCTCTCCTAACTGTGCTTCCTGTTCTGATTATTGTTGTTCTCATTTCACAGTGCAGATCCACCTGGACCCTGCCACTGTTGCCACTCCCCATGCACAGGGATCCTCAGGCAAGGCCTTGCCTTTTCTTCACCTTGATTTTTTTTTTTTTTTGTCGGTAGTGGAATTTGAACTTGGGGCGTCATGTTTGTGGGGCAGGTGCTCTACTGTTTGAGCCACACCTCCAGCGTTCTCCATCTTGGAACAGGGTTGTGTTTGGGTAAACATCAGACCCAGAGTGAGAAGTCCAAACAAAAAGAGCCGACTGATAGAACATCTTACAAATATTGGGGGAAGAGGAGACAGAGGGAAGTGACAGAACTGGTCCCCACGTGGCTGAGGAATGCTTGCTGCCCAGCTTCAGAGAATCTCAGCTGCTTAGCTGAGGCGGCTGTGTCTTCTGCCTCCGACGGGCAGAGGTCAGCATGTGTGGACACAGAGGACTCTGCTGATGTCGTGTGTCCTCCCACACCAGTGTGTATGGCCACCATGTGTGCAGGGCTGGCCTCAGGGGCTCTAAGGTCTGAAGATGCTACAGGGTCTACACGGTCTCCAGCCACTCCCTCCCGGTCCCTCAGAGCACAGCCATCCATGACCAGAATCTCTGTTTCAAAATGTATCTCACCTTCAACCCCTCAGTGTGGTCTTGTTATTTCTAAAGACATCTGTGTTGTGTTTGTTTAGTAGTTTCTTCTTTCTACAATAAGGTCCATGTAGCTTTTTAAAAAATACAGCACTAACGATTTTAAAGTGTACAGTTCAGCGACATTAAGTCTGTTAGCAGTGTTGTTCAGCCATCACCACCATGGACTCCCATGACTTTTTTATCCTTATAACCACTAAACAGTCACTGCCTGTTTCTTTTCTAGCTCATGGCAACCATGAAGCTGCTTTCTGTTCTTAAGAGTGTTGGCTTTTCTGGACATTTCATATAAATGGAGTCATTCAGCATTTGTCCTTCTGTGTCTGGCTTTTTTCTCTCACACAATCTTTTCAGAGTTTACCCACGTGGTTGCATTTGTCAGTACTTTGTTTCTTTTTCATGGCTGAATAATATTCCATTGTATGCATATGCAGAGTTTTGTTTATCTATTCATCAACCGATAGACATTTGGGTTATTTCCATCTTTAGTCTTTGTGAGTAGTGCTGCTATGCATAGTATTATAGTATCAGTTTTATTTATTATTTTTTTGAGACAGGGTTTCACTATGTAGCTCAGGCTGGCCTTGAACTCTCTAGATTGCCTAAGCTGGCCTTGAACTTGTGATCCTCCTGCCTCCATCTCCCCAGTGCTGGGATTCCAGGCATGTACCACCATACCCAGCTGAGGTATCAGTTTTTGTTTGAACACCTATTGTAATTCTCTGGTCATATATCCAGGAGTGAAATTGGTGATATTTCATATTGCCTCTAGCAATATATGAGAGTTCTGTTCTTTAGATCCTCACCAACACTTTTTATGTTCTAGTTTTGATGTGGCTTTTTAATGTGGCTGTTCTGGGGACATGAGGCGCTGGTGGCTGCTTTGCCATTGCTTGGTGGCATGGCATGCAGCATCCTTACGTATGCTTGCTGTGCATCTTTGGTTTTCTGAGAAAGGTCTATTTGGGTCCTTCACCCATTTCAAGAGGGTCTGTGGTGGATATTACTAGGTTCATCAGTACTTTTGTAATTTGAGGATTTCCCCATGGTTTTGTGTGTATGTGCATGCATGCATGTTTGCCTGAATAAATACTTAAAAAGATCTCCCTTTACTGTGCTGACTTTGTGTCTTGTGAGATAGACTTCATACTATGCTACCCCAGAACTCTTTTAATCTAGAAAAAGTACAACTGCAAATTCTTTGGCGTCTGTGTTTTTAAGGAGGAAGCTTTAGCTTGTGGGTGTGCACTCCAGGAAATTCTCCTGTGAAATAAGTTCTTTTTAATTTGTATTCTTTCTCACATGAATATTAAGTGATTTTGTTCTGATTTTTCATGTGCATTGAGAAATAAAATTTCATCCAGTCCTTTTCTGGTCCTCTGCTCTTTGGCCTACCTGAGCAGAGACCCTTCAATAATGGAGGATGGTGCAGAATGAACAATGAGGAATTTAGGAAAAAGTTCCCACTTTCAGTTCTCCTTTATCAACTGACTTTTAAAAATATGATATAATTTTCCCTTTTAATGGTTTTTGGGAACTCTCCAACATTCTGGAACTTTTTCAGTTCAGCCGCTGTGATTGGTTCTGTATAGGGGTACTGTATCCCTTTTGGGACAGCTGGAGCCCTTTCTAGATTTCACAGTGTGAGACTGAAGTGGTGGAAATGCCTACCGTTATTTCCTTTCCTTCCCTTTTGTATAGTGCAGGGAGCCCCAGAATGTAAGTCAACAGGCCTGTCATAGGTCAGAGAATCTTCTAGATCTAAAATCTGGGAGACAGAGTGTGGTATGAATGTGGAATCACATGACCTTGGTTTTGAACTTGGACACTTTTAACTATCAGTTCTTTGGTAAAGTAATTTAATTCTGTGCCTCAGTTTCCTCAAGTGTAAAATGGAAAATACACACTTAGCTCATGGGGCAGTTATAAGATAAAAACTGGGCCCCACGTGGACATGTGTAGTCAAATGTATGGTACCACTGACCTCAGTAACACTGGTGCCACCAGAGGGCTGACCCACACAGGTTTCTTTTCACACATGTAGTTTCACTATGAGTGTGACTTTGTTTCTGAAGCATTCATTTCTATCTGGGTGTTTGCCAGGGTTGAATTAAGCAAGTGTGAGTTACCTCCCAGGAAGCAAGAAAAATAGAGATGGCCAGACACTGGTGTCTCATGCCTATAATTACGGCTACTTGAGAAGCTGAGATTAGAAGGATGATGGTATGAGGCCAGGCCAGGCAGTTTGTGAGATCACATCTCAACCAATAGCTGGGGATAGTAGTGTGTGCATTTATCATCCCAGCTACAGCGGGGAGCATAAAATAGGAGGATCGTGGCTGGCCTGGGCAAAAGTCAAGACCCTGTCTCAAAAATAAACAGAGCAAAAAGGGCTGGAGGTGTGGCTCAAGTAGTAGAAATGCCTGCCTAGCAAGAAAGGTCAAGCCCCAGTACTGCCAAAAAAAAAAAAAAAAGAAAGAAAAGATAGAGATGGAGTCTGACACAGGCTTGTATTGGAGGGACTTTACACCAGAGAAGACAGCCATCTCACAATCCTTCCATCTTTGCACTTCTTGCTATTTCTTGCAGGGCAGTGGACCCACAGCGATTAGAAAAATAGACAAAATCTTCTATTTTTGTTGAACACAGAGGCAGATGGGAGATATTTGGTTTCTGTGGCAGTGGCCTCAGATAAACTCAACTTCCCTTTAGTAGAGTGAAGGGGTGTGTGCTGTTTTGGAAAATTACCTCAGGCAGCTGGAGTTAGTATGACCAAATGTGAAGAAGAAATGATAGAATAAGCACTAGAAGTTTTGGTTGGTGGCCAGTTGTCTATAGTGCTACGAAAGAGGAAAGGTACAAATAATGGAGCGTGTTGGTACTTCCCAAGTCCCCACCTTAAGCTTTGGAATACATTCCTGCTCTGCTAGGCTCTGGGAGATTCTGACCCTCCCCCAGAGAGACTGTTAGGATTTGGGATCCAGCCAGGAAATGTATTTGTTTTACAATTGATTTGACTGTAGGCATCCTACAAACTCCCTGATGTTTAGTGGGGAATCTTACAAGCTAGCACTTAAGAACTTTTGTCATGGTTGGCCAAACCCCATGACTGCAGTTCTTCTTTGCCTTCTTTTTTTACAGGAAAAGAAGATTTTCCAGATCCCCTGGATGCATGCAGCTAGACACGGGTGGGATGTGGAAAAAGATGCACCCCTCTTTAGAAACTGGGCAATCCATACAGGTATTAAACTCTGCATCCTTTCCTGAGGCAAGTGGTCCTCTGTCACACATACAAAATATCCTGGCTTATGGCCTCATGAAGATAGCTCTGAAAATCCTTTGACTTGTCCCCAGACTCGTCTAGAATACATGAGTACACACTTCATCACCCAGTGGTGATGTGCCACCCATCCTATAGGTTCTTTGTTCTTAAATTTCCCGTAAATGTGATACTCTGATAAACTCTTCCGGGGTTATCAGGAGGCTATAAACTCATTTGTTCTGGAACTGTAAATGTATTGAATTATTTCCCAAAATGAAGTCAGGAATATATTTATTTACTTATTACAAATTTTAAGTGGGCAGCTGTTTTCTGAGATGTGCTTTTTACTTACTATTTGAAAGCCGGAAATTATTTCTACTTCTCCTGACCTCCCAGCCTTATAGTCTTCCATCTAATTTATGTTGATTCTCCATCCTACCATTTTATTTTTCTCTTAAGCTGTTTTGTAGAACCAGAGTGACCAGCTTGTGCCAGTGTGCCCCCTAAACTTTCTAGGTTTTGAAAATAAAATTCCCACATCCTAAAACCCTTCTCAATCCCAGGAAACCACGATGGTCAGTCACTATAGGTAGAGTCTGGAATGAAAAGACTTTTCTGTATTATCTTGCCACTAATACTGTGTTTCCAGAATTTTTTTTTTTTTTACTCTGTGTCTTAATTTTTTCCCCTAGTTTTCTTAACCTTTGGCTATTTTGTTAGGAAAGCATCAACCAGGAGTAGATAAACCAGATCCAAAAACGTGGAAGGCAAATTTTCGATGTGCCATGAATTCCTTGCCTGACATTGAAGAAGTTAAGGATAAAAGTATAAAGAAAGGAAACAATGCCTTCAGAGTGTATCGGATGCTGCCCTTATCAGAACGGCCTTCTAAGAAAGGTAAAGATGTTTACTGACTGAAGAAAGGATTGCTTACTGTATCCCATGGTCTCTTGTGATTTCTTTAGTTCTGCATCTCTGGTCACTTCAAGCGTAAATTACTTGTTCATACTGTAGGTGATAATTCTGCCCTTACCTAGCTTTGAAAAATGACTTTCAGGGCACCAGAGGCAATAAAAGATATATTTGGAAATCTGATCATGTAAAGATTAAAGCGACAAGTCCATTAAGAGTTTCAGAGAGACTTTAATGTAGGGGACTGTTTCTCCTATATCTTTCATGAATTAATCCAATGTTACTTTTTTGTTGCCACAGGAAAGAAACCAAAGACAGAAAAAGAAGACAGAGTTAAGCACATCAAGGTAATCTTTGGTTGTTCAGAAAGAAAAATCAAACTTGTGACCATATTAGTGATTCATATTCTGTTTCATAAAAACAAGTAATATGATCTCTGTGGAGTGGTTAATCTTTCTTCTTTTGCTATTATGTTTTTATGAGATTTACATATTTCCCGTTTGGCATGTACACACTTGCAGACACAGGTACACATAGCTCCTGCTTAATCCAATATCACCGAGTCATGAATGAGTGGAGTCACAAGTTCACATGGAGCTTGACAGTCTGGAGCCTTTATCTGGTCACAACTCTTGCCAGCCAGCCAGTCACTTAGTTCCAATGAAACCCCAGCAACCAGCTTATGTCTGATACTACGAAGTAGATTTTTATGTTCTTAAATATATTAAAATGTTTTTAATATATTTATATAAATACATTCCATCAGAGGCCATTAGCTTGGAGACACAGGAGTCAACTCAAGCACTGAATTAATGTGGTCCTGAAGTGTTTTTCTGCTCCACCATAGGCCCCTCCCATAACTCCTGGGGTTTTCTGTAGAGGTGTTGTGTGTGCATGACCCTCTAAGTAGGCTAGGTAGTCTGAGCTGTGTTACATTTGAGGATCTTGGTGTATGGATTGAGTAGCGCTTGTTAGACAGAGAAAGAGGAGTCAAATATCCCATGCACAACTGGGGGATGAGCTTCCACTGCTAAGCAAAGAGCAGATGGGACACTCACAGAGTCATAGAGCGCCTAAGGGATGACCTTGTTTGTAGAAGAGACTGAGGTGCAAGAGTTGAGTGGTACATGTCCAAGGTCATGTGGTTATTTAGAACTAAACTTAACCAGGATGCTGAATATTCTGATTTATAATCTATAATAGCTATTAAAAAAAAAGTCCAAATTGTCCAGATAGCACAAAGTTTAAAAACAAGCCAGTAAGTTGAATTTTGGGGGGGAAATGAAATAACTTACTTTAGATGTGTAATTAGACTTGTTAAGGTGGCATCCTTTGTTATCTTCAGAGGACTGGTTCCAGGACTGGCACAGGCACCCAAGTCCATGGGTGCACATGCAGTCACCTTCGTTACATGAGACTTAGGCAAATCATCCTACTTGCTTTAAATTAAACCTCTAGCTTACTCATGATACCTCATGCTATAAAAATGCTGTGTCAATAATTACTATACTGTGTTGTTTAGGGAATAATGATAAGGAAAAAAAGTCTGTATGTGTTCAGTACAGATAAAATTTTTTTTCCCCAGTATTTTCCATCTGTTGGTTGACTACACATATGCGGAACCTGGGATACAGAGTGCTGACTGTTGTTAGACTTGGAGCGAAAACTTTGAGAAACATTAACAGATTTTGAAGGAAAACTTAGATAAACTGTTCAAGGTTCAGAGATGTTTCCCTCTACAGTGGAAAGCTTTTTATTTAGGTAGAGCACTGCAGCAGTGATCCTTCCAGTTTCACTTTCAATATTTTTAGTTTCTGATTTTAACTATAGCACAGTGTAAAGGTCAAATTTTGTTTTAACTTTTTATTGTGGAAAAAATTTTATGCACATAGAAAGGAGGAAAATGAGTAAAATTTACCCATAGACCATCGTCCCAATTTCAGCATTAATCAGTTCCTGGCCAATTTTGTTTCATTAGTACCTCCACCTACTTCCTGACTTTTGATATGAAGTCATAGATACTCAACCCATTTTGACTGACAAAAACAATTTCTTATGGCTTAGCTTAATATTTTGAAGCAAATTCTAAACATCATATTTTTTCTTCCATTAATATTTATCTTTAAAAGATAAACACTCTTTAAAATATTATAGTGTCAGAGTGCCTAAAAAATGACAGTATCCTCAATATCATCAAATATCCAGCCAGTGTTCAGATTTCCATTTGCCTTATAAATATTACTACATTTTGTTTACCTGAATTATGATCTATGTAAAAGACCAGGAATGATGGCACATGGCTGTAATCCCAGCCCTTGTGAGACAGAGGCAATGAGGATTGTGAGTTTGAGGCCAGCCCGGGCTTCATAGCAACGCCCTGTTTTGTAAAAAAATGATCCATGTAAGATCCACCTGTAATTTTTGGATATGTCTCTTAAGTTTTGTTTTTAATCTGTAGGTTTTTTTCTGTATCACTTTTTTTTAATTGTAAAAAATCCCCTCCTTGTTAGCCATATTAAGTTTCCCACAGTAGAAGTCATTTAAGACCTACATTTTTTGATTAGTGTTGTTCAGTCAGTCAGAAATGCATAATTTTCTCACAAATATGTGATTTTGAAGAATTTACTGCAATCTTAAATGTGATTGTATCGCTTTTACTACTGTTTTCCAGCATCTAGCTCAGGGACTGCCACAGAACAAATAAATCATTTACACATATTTGATAGCTGAATGGATGCATAAGCATTTGCTGAATGAATATATGTATAAATAAAATAATATGTACGGTGGGAGGGAGGAGTTTTACACAAGATGCAGATTTAATTTTGTGATTGCAGTAAATAGAGAAATAAGAATGGAGTGACACATTCACTTTTCAACATATTTTGCCTTAATACACCCATCAGATTCCATCGAATATCAGATTTCAGTGTACCATTATTTTATGTACCTCTAAGAAAGAAAAACTGCTTCCAGAGGTGATAATTGGCAATCCTATTTCAGGGAGAGGAATGTGATGAAATGTGCATCCTAGAGGTAAATGATATCACATTGGCTTTGTAGTGCCTTCCACGTGGCGCTAACAGGAGCAAGTTGTGGAAGGAACAGTTGTGGTTGGGGCGTAGCCATGTTGGCTGAAGAAAGGAGAGGTTCCCTGTAGGTGCAATCATGTGGGTCAACTTCTATCTCAGCAAAGTCAATGTTATGAAATTGTTGTGAAATAGTTACCACCTCAAATGTGTCCCACAAGGGACATTGTTCATTTGGCAGAGGCAGGTGATTCATCAGACACAGCACAGCTTAACTTTTGAATGTAAATTGATTTGTGTATGTCTTGCAGTCTAACAGTAAGACATGGATCAGGCCAGTGGGCTTTGCAAATTCTATGGTTCACAGCTGCTGAAACCATTGTGTTGACCCAGTGTATCTGCAGAATGTTTCTGAAATTAATTCCCCCAGGTGGCCTGCAACTCTATAGTACACAGACTTTATCATTACTGAGCTATTTATTATACATTACTTTTAGCTGTATGTCAGAATACATAAGCTCTGAGTTTCTATGTCCTGTGCAGATATTCAGCTGGGTTGGACTAGGTAGATTTATTCTACTGAGAAAATCTATCAGTGCATACCTAGTGTAGTAACTGGATTATGGATACTTACTGTTGAGGCAAGCCTTTCCCAGTCTTCAAGTTGAAGTGTTAATTAGCTAACAATGTTTAGGACATGCCAGCCAAGTACCAGAATTTTTCCCTGGATCACTAGGATGGTTTATCTCTGTATTCCATGTTTCCCAGGAACATGGCCACGAAGTAGGTATGGAAGTGACACCTCCACATTCTCTGATAATCTTTTTGTGAGAATATCTTATATACTCACGAGTCATATTTTACCTGAACTAAACCCTTATATGTAGAGTTAACTGCCTAAGGAAATTAGAACAGGAGAAACAAGACTGAGCAGTACTACACTGCACATTATCAGTGCATATATATGTTTCAGAAAATATCGTGGAACAGATTGCTCTGTGGGAATTCAGACAAGGCCAAAAGCAATAGGATAAAAGAACATAGAACAGGGGTTTATTTGACAATTTTGAGTTCCTCCAAAGGGTGATTATTACTCATCTGATTCCTCTGTGATGAATAGGTTCTTGACCTTTCACATATTGAGGAAGTGCAGACGCAGAGAGGCTGAGTCATTTTCCCAATGTTGCACTGCTTTATGGGAGCTGGAACTTGAATCCGAATTAGTCAACTTCAGAACCTGTGCTCTTTCATTCAGTGCCTTTTGGAAGCTATAGTACCTGAGTCAGGCCTTGAGGGATGGACAGGATAAAATAGCTGTCATTGTCTAGCACCAGGAACATCATGAATGAAGCCTAGAGATTAAAGTTGTTGTTTGATCTTCCCTGGGTGAATCAGGAAACTGGCTTAATTAGAGCCGGAGATTGAGTGAGGGAACAATGGAAATAAAGAACGTGCAGGATGGTAATGAGAATGAATCCTTCCTGCCTCCTAGGGTTGTTTGAAGAACTTCCTAGTAGAGCTGTTAGCTCTGACAAAGACATAAACTAGATTAAAACTCAGTGTGCTCCCTGTCACTGTTCAGAAACAGGCAAATGACCACAGGGCAGGACTGTTACTGTAGCTTTCCCTTCACTGGTTGGAAGAGGTCTTTAGTTTTTAAACTTTAATCAGATGAAAACACATGTCAGCAACCCACTTGAAAACAGATAAACAGAGCTGTCCTGGATGAATTCAGGTTATCATGCTTATCCTGCCTACTCCGGTTCTCCTTTTTCTGACTGGGGGCTTTGAAACTGGTGGGCTAAATTATCTCTGTGGATAATTTTATGAAATAAGACACAGTGAAACTCCTTGGAGCAGATTTTTGGAGGATGGTGAAGTTCTTCTGGAGCATAAGGAAGGTCTTTTCCTGTGGTGATTGTAAGGGATGGAGAGGCTGCATTAGCAAGTGTGGACAAAGATGGTGGCCATTTGGATGGAGAAGAAGGCACAGTTCTCCAGAATGTGGAGGAGGACATGGAGTATAGAGACAGGTGTGGATTAAAGAGGAGGTCCCATGGAGGGAGTATTGGGAACGGAGCTTGCTTGTGGAGAAGAGAGTGAGTTCAACCTTGAATGTGTTGAGTGTGAAATGGCAGAAAACCCTGGAAAGCCAATGTTGAAACTAACAGATGCGGAGCTCTGAGAAGTGTTGGAGGTACAAATGTGTTGTCATTTACTCCAGAATGACATTGGAGGCCTTGCAATTTTTGACTTTCTCCAAGACAGAAATTCTGAGACAGACCCCAGGAAGAAGAGGTAGAAAAGAGTGAGCCAAGGAGAAGGGTGAAAAAGGGAGCCAAAGTAAGAGAAGAAAGGGAAGAAGAGAGGGAAGATGGTCTTGTTTCAGGGAAGAAAGAGTACTACACCTTCTGTTCTCTGGCATTGTAGCCACCATGAAGTGTTGTGTGTACTTCTGAGGTCCCATTTCCCAGTCTTCATTAAGTGGTTCAGCTGTCAGCCTGGAATTTTTGTTAGCAGAGAGACTTAGAGATGTCCTTAGATTTGATGTCCTTTGATTGTCCTTGGATGGGGGGGGTGGGAAATTATCTTACGGACATTACAGTGGTCCTCAGGAGAGTACAGATGTAGACAAGGGGCTTTGGCCCAGGGATGAGACATATGGACTTGGAACAGCAGACCTTCTGCTGTCCTCTAACTTAGATCCACCCAAAGACCATCCAGCAGGCCTAGCCTTGAGACCAACCAAAAGTAGACTATTTTTACATATTTAAAGAAGTCTGCCTCTGCCCTTAAACGCTCTCTGGTGCTGGTTTGCTTTTGTTTAAAATCTCTTAAACCATAAATCTTAGATTCTAAAACTACAGAAAATGTTCTTGAGCCTAAATATTTGGCAGGGTTCATGCTCCACTGAAGGATCCAGACACAAGTGTGAATTGTTTGGTTTTCTTTGGAGAGAAGCAGTGGGCTTAGGAATCAACAAAGCTATTGGCTGCTTGATTGACAGGAGAGCCTTTCTCTAACATGAGAAAGGGAACAGAGAGAGGAGGCTGGTTCAGGACTCACCAGGCCAGGTTATGATACAGCAGAGTGAGATTGAGACAAAGTAGAAGCGGGGCATTAGAGGACCAGAACAAGCTGCTGGCAGAGGCCAGTCATGACCTGTTCTAGCTCTGTGCACATGTTTCATAGAGAACTCTCACCTCTTTTCTGCTTAGGATTCTTGGAGTTTTAATGTCAGTTAGGTTTCTGTATCCTTTCCTTCTAATCATTTCAAAACCTTTGACTGAGGTTAGCAAAGACCCTTCTCTGCTGGGCCAGGATGGAGGCTCAGGGAGGTACTCCTTACGTTGTACTATACAGTTCACCATCTTTGTCCTTCCCAAATGGCAGTACCAATGAGATGATTTGAAGACTTTGACATTGGCAGAGCAGGGTTGGGAGGACTAAAACCAGGTTTCCATAGTCTGTCAGTGTCCACTGGCAGAATGTACTGCTCCATTGTGAATGTGGGCAGGATACCAGTAGGAATGGGGAGTAAAACCATGACCCATCTAGTTCTGTCTCCATCCCATTGGAATGAGTGCAGAGCACAAGGGTTTAAGACCGAAAGCTCCTGAAATTGAACCATGTTGCATGACCAAAGACTTAGTGCAGTTCTTGTATCTCATCAGGTTAATGGTAGTGTGATCTTGGAAAATTAATTTAGTCCTCTGAGTTATCATTTTCTCGTATGTAAAGTGATAAAAATATCAGTTGCCACTAATTAAACTGCAGCTCATGTGGAACACTTAGAACTCTTCAACTGGGAAGTGGAGCTAATTTAGATGTTTGAATATATGCAAGTCTGACTATCTCGTTACTTTGATAAGAAATCTAGAAACAGAACAAATAAAAAAAGATAGCAAAAGAAAATCATAAGCAGTTCTTTCCATAATTTCTTCAGATACCTGTACTTAGTTCCTTTTCAGGATACCTGTACTTAGTTCCTTTTCAGGAAATGGAAGGGGAATGAGGAAATGTGGGGCATGGTTTGGGAGTGGGAGAAGGAGGCCATTGAGTGGCCATCAGTAAGGAAGGTACCTCTGGAGAGGTAGAGAACTGAGTCAGTGTGAGATAATACAGGCTAGCAAGAAGGCAGGGGGCAGAGATGTCAAATATAGACCTGAGACAATGGAAGTTGTGAAAACAACATTGGGTGTGAAAGAACAGAGCTTGATCAGTGACCTTTGATGGTAGCGAACTTTTATTTAATGGTAAGTGCCATGAAGTATATTGATCCAATTTAATCTTTAATCGTCCCTAGGACATGGATTGTGTTAATTGTCCTCAGTTTACAGTTGTCCACAGTGCCCTAAGAGAGGCTTAATGAGGTTAAATCAGGGAGCAGTGGGGACACCAGGCTTTGTCACCTGGTCTGTCTGATTCCAAAGCCCAGGCTCTGACTGCCCCTCTGGGAATTGGATTCTGTAAATGAGGTGGAAGGGATTGGCTGTACTCAGCCAATGCAGATCCTTGTTCTGTATGCATTAGCGAATTAGAGATAGAAAAACTCCAGCAAGGTGAAAGTAAAAAAGATTTATTTGCCAAGAAGAGAAAGTAAAAAGGCCACTCTTAAGCTGAAGGGTGCTTCAAGCAGTGGGATCCCCTGGTGCCCACCCCACCCCTGGTGGGAAGGCTCTTTCCTTGTCAGGTGTCATGGTTCTTTTTCTCCCCAGGGCAGCAATCCATGGGCAGCTGTTTCTGGGCTGGGACTCGCTGCTTTCAGCCATTCTCAGATGCAGCTCCTCCCAAAATTCTGGTGATCTCTGTTTTAAGGCCGCCATTCTAGCGCTTCTTTCAGAAGTGAGACCGTAGGCACTTACAAGAGTACAGGTAAGGAGATGAGGTCAGGACAGGCAGACAACACTCAGAAGTTTAGCTATAAAGGAAGGGAAATGATGGTGACTAAAGCAAGTGAGTTTTTGGAAGTTAAAGAGAGAAGAGTACAAGATGCTGGGGGAGAAAAGGGTCAAAATGCTACCCAGTAGGGCTGTTCTTTATCCTTCCTGATGCCTGACCTTTGGTACAGCTAGTAAGCCATACACACACACACACGTATATACACTATCTGCAAAATAGATTTTTAAGATTAGCTGAATGGTAAGGCTATGCCTTTGAAGCTTTGCTTGGCATGGTGGTAGCTTGCTAGGTGGGATGGTGTTTTTCTTCCTTGCCTAAGTGGTCTTGCTAAGTTTTTTTGGGGGGTAGGGGGAAAGACTTTCATTGATTCCAAGTAGTGCATGTACAAATTGGTAAGAATATCCACGATGTCTTAACTAGTTGTCCACTAATCTTAACTTTTTTCTTTTTTGAGGCACTGGGGTTTGAACTTGTGCTCACTGGGCAACCACTGTACCACTTGAGCTATCTCCCCAGCCCTTTTTTGCCTTAATTATTTTTTTTAATGTCAGAAGGGTAATGTGCCCATGTTATAACAAGGTTTGAGGAAGGCACATGTTACACAAAGGTGTGAACACAGTCATCACACTTACGAGCCAAAAAAAGGATCAGCCTTACTTATTTTTCAGACAGGGTTTTAAGGGGTTTTTTTCGCTGGGATGGCCACAGCCCTCAGTCTTCCTACCAATACTCCATGGAACTGGAATTACAGACATTAAACACTGCACCTGACTTATTTTGAGATCTAGCTTTTTTCCAGATTGACCTTGAACCATGATTGCTGCCTCCTGAGTAGCTGTGATAGCAGATGTCAGCTACTGTGCCCAGCCACACTTGACTGTTCAAAGCACAGTATTATCTACCTCCATGTTTCTCTGCTCCCAGTCCTGTGTTCCATTTTGGATCCTCAGGAGTTTTCCTGTGTGGTTCAAAGCAGATGCATTCAGTCCTTACTTTGGGCACTATTCTCATCAAAGTGTACCTCAGGACTGACTTTCCTGGAGCTGGTTGGTACTCTCAGAAGTGGAGGGTTGAAGTACACTTGAATAAAGCCAGAATTCAGAGCCATTATAAGAAAGAATTTGTTCTCATTTCATTAGTATGACTGTGTAGCCCCTTGGGCAGGATGAGATATTCAGGCACAAGAAGGGCCTTTATGTGAAGCTGTGAGTGTAGGGCTACCCAGCTGGCCTTGGGCAGAGAGAGGAAGACCTTGGCTGTGAGTGTGGCCCACGTTATCAGCCAGCCACTCAGTGTAGGATGTTCAAGTGGTCAGAGTCCACTGCTCAGCATATCCAAGAAGTCAGCCACACCTTCCTCCAGGCTCCTGCTCTTGGCCAATCCTTGAGGGAGAGCTTTTCCTAAGAAGTAACTACAAGTAGTGACACAACTCCTCCTGAGAGAGAGGTCCTGGAATGAGTCCTTTAGAGCGCTCCCTTGGAGAAGGAGGACTTGGAATGTTTGCAGTGCAGTACCTCACACAGACAGCTATGCAGCTCTGCTTAACCCCAGAGCTGTTGTCAGCACTTCCTAGAGACAAGCCAGGTGTGCGGGGGCCATTTCTGTGAGGGAGCCTGAGAAGCACTGAACAGCCAGCTTTTCAACTCTAGTCTAACTGAAAGAGGCAGGGGATGCATGAATGATAGGTTAGACATGAATGACTAACCCTAACATTAAAGAAATTAGACAGAGGGTAGAATTGAAGCTAAGAAAAGGGAGGGAAAGGAAGTGTTCTCAATTCTTGTTTTCTTTTCTTCTCCCTAGCAAGAACCAGTTGAGTCATCTTTGGGGCTTAGTAATGGAGTAAGTGATCTTTCTCCTGAGTATGCGGTCCTGACTTCAGCTATAAAAAATGAAGTGGATAGTACGGTGAACATCATAGGTAAAACTGTTTTGCCATCTTATTTCTTATACACATGAACAGTCCTCCAAAGTCTAAAATTTGTAAAACAGTGATCTTTAAGTAAGAATCAGTAGGAAGAAGTCTTGGAACCATCTCCGGATACAAGTTCTACTCCCCAAATTTCAGGCCTTTGAGTATCAGATAAAGGAATTTAGCCAGGTCACCCCAGGAGAAGAAAGCCAAGAGTGAGAGATGTTTCTTCCCCAGGGGCTCATAGTTAGCAGCCCTTAATCTTTCATTATTTACTCACGTGGACAAAAGTGCAATTTGTTGAATTTGGGTATCGGGCACAGTGAAGATTACCCTTGGAGTCCACTTAGTGACTATTCCATGCACACTTGCCACAGAGGTGGTGCTCATTTTACAGGCAAAGAAACTGAGGCACAAAAATTCAAAGGGCACAGTCTGATTCAACAAGCGTTGAGTATCTTCCACATTCTAGACTCATACTCTGAGCAGGAGGTAGATGGGGCACAAGGGAGCCCCGGCTCCTATTTTCATGGAGTAACACAGACAGTATCAGATAAACCCACAGGTAAGTCCAGCATTCCCCTTTGTGCTAAATACTGCAAAGGAAGAGAGCAGAGACAAGAGAGAATAACCTGTAACCTGATTTAGATTGGGAAGTCTCGGGAGCTTGACTGATGTCTCTTTGCTTCTGGGTGTGTGAGGAGCAGCTGGTGACGTGGGTAGGAACTCACTTAGGGAAACAGAAAGGAATCCATTGTGGCATAGAGTAGCACAAAATGAGGTCCCCTTACAGAAAGGAAGGGGACATATGGGAGCCTCTACAGGCCATGGGAAAGAGGTTTTATCCCAGATTGCTAGAGGGAGTGTTTGCAATTAGGGAGGGGGGTATTAGGATTTGAACTCAAGGTCTAGACTCACTAGGCAGGTGCTCCATCACTTGGGCCATTTCTCAGCCTTTTTTTCTTTGGTTATTTTTTAGGTAAGTTCTCAAGTTTCAGCAGGGGGCTGGCCTTGGACCTGGATCCACCTACTTATACCTTCCTCATACCTTAGATAACAGGCACATACCACCATAGCCGGCTTACTGATTAAGATGGGATCTCACTAACTTTTTGCCAGAGTTGACTTGAACCAAAATCATACTGATTTCTGCCTCCCACATAGCTGGGATTACAGGAATGAGCCACTGTATCTGGCTACAAAAATATTTTTTTAAATTAAAGATAACACAGACAGTAAAGTGCCCAAGTGCTTTATACACATCAATATAACTACCACCTCTTGCAGGGTTTTAGGCAAGGCGGTGACAAGCCATGAATCTCAGTAAATTCCCTCTGGAATGCTGTAGAAAATAGACTTTGAGAACTACATGCAAGAATGAAGGCCTGGCAGTGAACTTAGCTTGACAGTCCACCCAGAACCCAGAGGTGGGGCTTTGTGATCTTCAAGTACCTTTTGGTCTGTGACACTGCTCCAATCTGGGTTTCTGATGTTGATGAGAACCAGAGAGATCAAACAGCTATAAAACAAGCCTCTTGGCCTTCATTTCTGGATTCTCAGTGGAACACTGACAGGAGACCACATGGGGACAGATGTCAATATTCTCTCATTCCTTTTGGTTTTGGAATTTTGGAAGTAGAATCATGTATGTGAGGAACACCTTGAACCTTGACATTGTAATAGAGTGCAGTGTGAGGGAAGCATAGACAAGCCCTCTCAGCCAACACCCAGGCTTGATACTTCCACGTAGAGACCTTTGGTTCTACAGTAGATTTTGAGCTGAGAGGAGAATCAGAATTCAAGCTCCCTACCACCCCACCGGCCAGTGAGGAAGCGAAGGGCTTCTGGGTGAGGGACTCACTATCTAGAGTCTCCTCGACCTGGGTCCCTTCTTCCCATGACCCAAGTGTTTTACACATGCACAGTGTCTGTCCTTGTTATGGCTTCTGCCCTTCCTGGTTCTTCATTTACCTTAGCTTTCTTCATAGGCAGTCTCTGCCTGGAAACTGCACGCATGCCCATTGAGCCCTAAAAAAAAAAGGAAGATGTTTGTCAAAACTCCAGGCACATTTTCTTAACACACCTTATTTTGAATGAGTTGGTTGGTTCCTGGAGTTCCCCTTCATTTATGAGGTGACATCAGCCCCAGATGACATGCCAAACCAAAGTCAGAGTTGCACATGGTTTTCCTTACCTGTTTTTAAGGTTATGTTTCTATTTCTAACTGACAAACAGTATTTATGTGTGTATTTGGGATACAATGTGATGTTTTGATCTATATAAACCTTGTAGAAAGAATCATTTGTCACCTCACCAACTTACTCTTTTTTGGGGGGTTTGGAATGTTTTAAAAATCTCCTCTTTTGATAGTTTTGAAATACACATTGTTATTATCTCTGGACATCATGCAGTGCAATAGCTCACAAAAACTTATTTCTCAGGTATAAATGTGACTCTGTACCCTTAGGTCAACATTTTTCCTTTCTCCCACCACCTCCTCAGCCTCCAGTAATCACCTTTCTTTTCTCTGTTTCTATAAGTTTGACTTTTCCACCTATGGGTGGATGATACCTGGGTTATTTCACTGAACAGGTCTTCCATATCCATCCTACATATTTTTTAATCATTATGGTTGAGTCTTCAGTGTATAAGTTTCTGTCAGTTTGATCATTCTTTGGCCTTTTGGTGGTACTGGGATTTGAACTCAAAGCCTCACGCTTGCTAGGCAGGCACTCTACCACTTCAGCCACTTTACAAGTCCTTCTTTGCCCTTTTGTGTGATAGGCACTACCTGGAGCTGATGTGAGTTTAATGAGTTGATACTCTCTTTTTTGGACAAACAGAATAGTCAGGTTTGGTTACAGAATCATCTACTGGTTTAAATGACTCTCTTCCTGGTCTTTATAATGAATAGCAACAAAATGGGCTCCAACACATCTTTCTCATTGGTAGCTTTTCTGAAGGTGTATAATTCTAGATGAATTATAGAATTCATATAAAGTAGTCAGAGAGAAGACGATCTGTGACCAGGGTTCATGATAGTGTATCCAAGCCTTTAAACCCTTCACAAGCTTGTGATTATTAATTAGTCTTCTTGGTCTTTGTGATTTGTGGATGAAAATGAGAAATGCAGGGATGTGACTGTCAAAGCCATTGAAGCATTTGAGATAGTCTCTCTCTTTACCTTACAAAATAGTGTGTTTTTAAATGACCCTGTTTCTTGCTTTCTGTTCACTCCAGAAACCAGATTTCATTTCAGTTTTGTGTTCGGGCTCCAAGATGAAAGCTAGAAGGGGTTTTCATTTCACTTCTATGAACATGCATTTATAAGATTAAAACTGATGGCTGAAATGAATACTTAATATGATAGTCTTTTATATGTTGTCTGGAGGCTCTTTAGCTAGGAAACTGGATTGAAAGTCAATAACTGAATTCAGTGGAGGCCAGCCACCAGTCCATTTTTATTCTGAACAGAGGTGGCTGTTTTTGTAAGCAAAAGCGGTATGTACAAAATGTGAATTGTACTGTTGCCCTGACAAATGGGCTTGTGCTGCATTGCTGCAATTTTTTGCTTTTATTCTTGCCACAGTTCACCGCAGGGGCACACACATACACACAGTTGTCAGAGGTCTGTGTCCTGTTCTTGCCATCTTCTCTGTAACAGCTGGAAGTACTTCTAGCCAGCCAGGTGTGCACACCAAAAAGGAGCGTGGTGTTTTCATGCTGGAACATCTTCATAGGTTTCTTCACTCCTGCCTGGTCAAGTCACAGGTTGAGCACCCAGAAGACCCATCCCTGCTTTCCCTTTAAGAGGAGTGGGGAGGGACACCTCCTTTTTTTTATTTTTACTTTAGCACTGCATTTTTGTTGGGTGTGTGGCTGCTTCTGTGTTTAGAAAAGGAAGAGGCCGGCCACATGTTGAATTGTTCTAACAGTACCCAGCTGGCCTCCTGCCCACGTAGCAGTGCTTCTGCTGAGCTGTGTGGAAATGATCTCCAGGCCAGAACGAGGAGTCTGCAGGTGCAGACATTCTGCCTGACTTGCCTGGCAGTGCTTTACAGCCCCATTGTGTTTCTTGATAAAAGGGGACTCTACCCTTCAATAAAGCAAAGATCGCTGGCCTGGAGACAAGGGAGACTATTCAGCTCTTTCAAGAGCAAAAGCAATCCAGAGCAACAGATGTATAGCAATCAGGAAGTAATGGAGTTTGCATTTTGTCTTAATTTGCCGAAAGTGCACCTTTGAGGACATTCTGTTGTTTTTTTGTGTTTTTTTGTAAATTGCTTTCAATTTGACTAACTTTATCTAAAGTGACGCTTAAATACCTTTTTTGGCCCAGTCTAGAAACCCAGGTATGGACAAAGGGGCGACCAAAGGAACGAAAGAACAGACTCACAACTTAGAGACCAACTTTGGGGTCCCTGTGTAGGACGCTTAGGGAGAAATCAAGGTTGGGAGTCTCCAGTACCAAAATTCATGTGATATGAAGATGGCCAAAGGTGCAATAATCCTGGGCCATTGGTGTGTTGAGCCTTTCCTATTTCCATTGCTCCTTCTTGTTTTTGCCATGTTCCTGGTACTTGAGGTGTGAAATTCCAACCCCAAATAAAAAGTCACTTGGGTAGGTCTTTACATGGAGAACACCCCCTCTCAAGAGGTCTCCCATGCTCCTTTGCAGTGAGTTAACAGCTGTGCCCAGGAACTTCTCCTGAGAAGCTTGAGCTATCCCCCTTTAGGAATAGAAGCCAAATTCATCAGGACCCTGGAAAACTCTTAACAACATTAAACAACATGTGAGAGGTGAACCAAGATACTTTGGTAACCTCAGATACAGAAGTGATAGTATCTTTTCTTCTTCTTTGGTAGACTGGTTGTCACAGTCCCATAGTAGGACAGTCTCCATGTGCTGACCAGCTCTGGGCAGTAAAGTTTGTCTGTGGCTTTTAAAAACCTTATGAGGTTTCCATTTACTTAAGAAACTTGTCATCTTTTTATGAGACTATATATTC